AACTGCTAGATTTTTTGCTTTTGTTGTACCAATAATATGAATCACGGTTCTCAGTAACATAATTCAATTTCTTTATACAGACCATGCTAATTAGTATTAATATAATATGATCTATTCTAAGTTTATAGTTATAAGCTAATACTACCTTTAAGTTTTTCCCTCTTTTCCTCCTCTTCTGTCGGAAACATTTTACTAAGGCCTGTTACAGGAAAAAAAAATTAAAATGCAAAGATTTCCTTAAACTTGAAAGCATATTTTTCCTCTCTTGTTTCTTCTCATGGAATTATCTTCCTGTAGTTTTACTAGGCCATATTTTCCTCTCATTTACACTTGTTCTACTTCATGGAAGACAATTATCTTGTATTGGGAAAACTGGTGAGACAATCTGGCCAGCTGACTTCTAGAAATGATATCTTTTTATTGGGTTTGGTGACAGAATGAAAAAAAAAACCCTCTTTAGTAAAACAGTATGGAATTTAGAAGAAAACAGCATCCAGACTGGTGGCAAGTTGTTATTATTGTAACTATTGCTAGTGACTTGTTATGACACCTAAGAATTTTTCCTACACTATTCTAACCTAACCCCCCCCACAAATTATTATTGTTAAACAGTCTGGATCTCCTTGTCCTGTTACTGCTGGTTTACCCATGTATTATACTTTGTGTTTTAGGTCTTTACCTGCATTGGTTAGATATGTACTCCTCACAACATACTGTAGGGTCAAAGCCTTAGGTTGTAAATTCTTTGAAGCAAGCAATTTAGTTCACAGTGTAAGTGTATAGTGTAGAGTACAATTGGATCCAATTTGGTTTAGCTCTCTAGGCATTACCAGAAAGCTAATGTTTTACTGTCTATCAGATAAAACATGCTTCATCTTAAATTATTCTTATGTTTCTGGTGAAAGACTTTATATGCACATAGAGTAGCTATGTTTTATACTAAAAGATAAAATAACATTAGCCATTTTCATTATTTTTCAACCAGTAAAGGCATTTTTCAGGAAGTAGATTTCTTTAAAATGTAATTAAATTTAATTTTTATACAAGCAACAAGTGAGCTCAAGTTAGTTTGCTTTTGATTGTTTCCTGCATAGCTGCAATTAAGACAGCTAAACAGAATTTGTATTTGTTTTCTGCTTTATTTAAACATTAACATCTCTGTCAAAGACTGTATTTCTACCCCACTGAATCTGTAGAGTTATGCTGTTAAATGCAGCATTTATTTAAGAAATATTTACCAGAGGCAATGACTGTGAATCTGATTGTTCCACTGAATAAGTGAACAGAGGTTTATCTTTGTGAAGATTTCTCCTAGGCCATGTGAAATTGGGATTGGTGAGTCACTTAATTGCCACTTTCTTCTCCTTGCCCAGGCTTTTGTTGTGATTTCTTCATGGGGCACATTACCTGAGCACTGCAAAGATTTTTTTAAAAAGGAAGGGGTGACAGTGACTTCTGCTACCTCCCCATAATCCTGTGGCAAATGTGGGCAGAAGGTAATGTTCTAGTCTAGGTTCTAGTCCTTTTTTGGTGTTAAGTCAGATACTTTAGGGAGCTCTGTTCTCATTCCTTATATTCTACAAAGGCAAACACCTGTGCAGAATTCCCTGGTATCATGACCTAGTAAAGCTGCATTTCTCAGGAACTAGGGCAGGGGGAAAAGAGTTTAGGAGTTTCAGATGGTTAGTGTCTATGCTGATCCTAGTCAATATCAGGCATGGAGGCTGGGCCCTGATTCTTCCATGGAAAGGGGAGGCCAACAGAATTTAATAAAAGAAATGAAAAGAAAAATCCAACAAAAGAATATTAAAAAACATTTCTGTATGCAGGATATATTTACAAAGAAAGACAAATGTCCTCTCTTGCTTTATTGAGTGAAATATCAAACCTCATTTATGTTTAAAATACACTCATTATTCAACATCAAATGGCAGACTTATTTGCATTGTACTTATTTGCATAGGGTTTTTTAAAAATTTTCCTTTGTAAGATATCTTGTTTGTTTGTTTATGTTGTTCTTTCTGATAAAGTTGAAAAAGTTTGTTTTAAATTACACTTATCTCTAGGTCTATATATTTGCATTTCAGTTCATTTCTTTAAAAAAACTAGACCCTTATTGAATTCCGCAATTCCAGTTTTGGATCAATCATATATATATGTGTATGCATATGTATATGTATTATATTTGTATATGTATATGTATTTGTATATGTATATGTATTATATTTATATATGCACATACCTACATATATGAACAGATATATGCCTCCCCTAACTTTATTATTATACCAATTAAAAATATATTTGCAAATATGTCTTAGAAGTATAGCCAGGTGTGCAGGTGAAATCTATCATGGAGAAGGTATCAATAAAACTTGGTTCCAAACAAAATGATCTTCCTGTTCCACCTCTGTATGTCACCTAATGCAAACAAATGTATCCCATGGCTGTGCAGATATACGTCTATGGATATTTCTTTCTTTTTTTAAATCACCATCATTGTTGTTGTTATTATTTATTATTCCCTTAGACCAAAGCTTGCAAATAATTTAGGCACCTAACTCCAGTTTCCACAGGCAGATACAGGTGTCTAGCATATGCAAAAGCCAGGGTATGCGTTACAGTGTCTAAATGTGGATTTCAGAGCCAATCCAAGCAGGGCATATGGCCTGGGGCAAATCAGCCCTGCTCTGATCCCATGTGCCCCAAATCCCAAGAAGCTGCCACTGCCATCTACAGCACCAGTGGGGGGAGGAGAGGGGGGGGAGAGGTAGCAAGTGGCCTGATGTGAAGCTGGCAGTGGCAGCATGGAGTTGCCACAGCTGCTCCACCCAGCTCTGGAGGGCCCCCCAAAGCATGGAGCCCAGGGCAGTTGCCCTGATTTGCCCCCCCACCCGGTAGATTCAGTTGCCTAATCTTTAGACATCCTGGTTTGAAAAGCTTTCCATAAAGTAGGTACCTCTCATCATTCAAAGAACAGAATTGTAGTAAATTAGGGTTGGAAGGGACCTCAGGAGGTCATCTAGTCCAACCCCCTGCTCAAAGCAGGGCCATCCCCAACTAGATCATCCCAGCCAAGGCTTTGTCTGGCCAGGTCTTTAAAATCTCCAAGGATGGAGCTTCCACCATTCCCTGGGTAACCTGTTCCAGTGTTTTACTACCCTCCTAGTGAGAAAATTCCTCCTAATATCTAACCTAAACTTCCCTTGCTGCAACTTGAGCCCATTGCTCCTTGTTCTGTCATCTGCCACCACTGAGAACAGTCTAGCTCCATCCTCTTTCCAACCCCTCTTCAGGCAGCGGTCCCTCTACGCTGTGTGGCGCATGCAGCCCCCCAGGCGCCTGGCAGCTGTGCGCACCATGCAGCTTAGAGGGAACACTGCCTTCCGGTAGCTGAAGGCTGCTATTAAATCCCCTCTCAATCTCCTCTTCTCTAGACTAACTAAGCCCAGTTCCCTCAGTCTTTCCTTAGAAGCCATGTGCCCCAGATTGTCTCCGGGGGGAGTGGGGGAGCTAAGTGTGTGTGTGTGTGGGGGGGGAAGCTAAAGGAGTTAGGTGCCTAGCTTCTGTTGCCTGTCAGAAGGAGCCGGGCCTCTAACTCCCTTAGGCTCCCTAGACAAATGACTCCAGCCTGCCCGCGGGCAGTTCGGGAGCCGCCTTTCGCCGTGCGGCCGGCGGGCGGCGGGCGGGGCCGTGCTGCAG